TGCATAAAAATCAATTCAAAACACATTAAGGCCTTAATTTAAGACTAAAGACCCTGATACTACTAGAGGAAACCTTGGGTAAACTGTTCCAGACAGCTATGGACAAGGACTCCAGTAACCCAGGGGGACTTTCTTGGAGCTCACTAGTGGAACTGTGTTAGTTTCTCTCCTGTTGCTCTGATAAAACACTGTTACCAGGGCAGCCTATAGACGAAAGAGTTTATTTTGGCTTATGGATCCAGATGGTTGGAGTCCATAAAAGCAGGACAACGCGATAACATGGCCTAGGCAGCCGGCATGACAGTGGGAATGGAGCAGGAATTATAGAGCTCACATCTTAACCATGAGCACAAAACCTCAGAGAGAGTGAAATGGAAGGACGGCAGACATTTTTCTCAAAGCCCCCCCCCCAGTAATGTACCTCCTCCAGCAAGGCTACATCACCTAAGCCTCTCCCAAAGAGCACCTTCAAATGGGAACAAAATGACAGAGTTATGTGGGGCATTTTTCATTCAAAACACTACAGGGCTTTCATAAATTTAAACAGTTTCTACATAGCAATGGAGTCATCCTAGTGAATAGACAGCCTTTGCAGAGGAAATCACCTTCGCAAACTCTCCATCAGATGAAGGCTTATTAAATGGGATATATTAAGAACTGAAGAGATTAAATGGTAAAATACTACATGTTCAAACAGACTAATGAACTCAATGGATAGTTCTTGAAAGGGAGACATAAAAATGTGTTTAATGTTCTCAGCCATAAGGAAATACAAATTCAAAGTAGTTCAGAAAGGTTGGAGAGATGGCTGCATTGTTAAGAGCGTTTGCTGCCCTAGTGGAAGACGAAAGTTCGCTTCTGAGCACCCACGTTGGGTAGCTCCTCACTGCCAAACCTCCAGCTCCAGGAAATCTGACTCCCTTTTCTTCCTTCTACATCTGCATACATACAGCATACATTGACATAGAAACACACACAGATATAGGTAAGCAAAGATACATTTTTAAAGGAAAGCTATTTTGAGATTATATCTCACCATCCATAATCATCAAAAACAAAACAATGACAGTTGTGGCAAGTGTCCTGGGAAGGAGGACGCCTTTTATAGTAGTGATGGTGTAACCTAGAGTGGGCAAGGTAAAATTATTATGGCTGTTTCTCACCATAGAACTGCCATATGACCCAGTAATGCCACTCCCGAGGGTTTGTCTGACGGCATCGTAGCATACCATAGAGACATTTACATGTCTATTATTGCACTGTTCATAACATACAGGAATGGACTCAGCCTTGCTGTCCAATCAACAGATGGATAATGGAATTGTGATACGCAGTAGGATTTTACTCAGCATAAGGAAAGTGCAGTCATGACATTTATCAGCAAGTGGATGGAACTGGAGAATATTCATTAAGTGGAATAAACTTCGCCACCCAAACCAGTTCTTCATGTTTCATCTCATCTTAGAAACCCAGATGCTTTATACACTTTATATATATATGATGTGAGGTGTTAAGAGAAGCTTTTTCCTTGAGAGAATGCCTTCCCGCCAGCCTGGTTCTAGAGCCGCATCAGTCCCAAATAAACACACAGGAGGCTATATTCATTATGAAGCTGTTGGCCTTGCTTGTCTCTTACTGGCTAGCTCTGGCGTTACATGTTGACTCTCTTGTGTTTCCCCTTCCCAGAATCCTCCTCGACTCCTAGTCCCTCCTATCTAGGTTTTCTATTGGCCAGACAGTACTTTATTGACAAATGCACAGGCAAATAACAGGACTTCCCCAACATCTCCTCTTTTCTGTTTAAACAAAAGAAAGGTCTTAATTTTAACATAGTCAAATTGTATATGACAGAACAGTTATCAAGTAAGAACATAGTTACAATATTTTAGCAAGATTTAAAGAAAATATCATCTATCCCATCCTTGTGAGTCAAAAGTTCTATATGTATCTTTTATCATAACTAAGGAAAACTATAATTATAACTATCTGTCTTCAACTGCATCAAAGACCACAGAAGGATAATATATAAACACTAGGATTAACAGAGACATCTTACTGCCTGGACAGTCACCCGAAGTTCCTCTGTAACGTTGGGGCATCCATCTTCAGCCCATAGGCCACAATGTGTCTGGAACACTTCTCAGCAAAGCAGGAAATTTCAAACTGTCCATCTGCATTGGCAGTCTGTAAGTCATTTTTCTTTGTCCTGCAGAAAGTCTCGTAGACTCTTCATGAAGCGGGAACCCTGTAAGACTGAGTTCAGTAGTCACTTTCCTGTGGGTCCTGCTTGTCCAGTTTATACAACAACAGTCAAGAAGTACAGGCAAGAGCAGTTCTTGCCCAAATGGCTAATCTTGCCATGTTGAAAGCAAACTCCATAACAAGTTTCTTCGATGCCCATCTTCCTCTCAGATGTAATTGGTGCTGCCAGGAGCAGACATTTCTCATTGTCAAGACAAACCCTAAACCATTTTAAATGCCATGTTCTGAAGGTCTTTGAGAGGTTTGAAGACTGTCCATCTCAAATATATTTCTGTATATCTAGAAACCTAACTTATGTAACTAGAAATTCTATTATAAGTAACTATCTATAGTCTGTATTCAATTATGCATTACTTGTAAAAGATCAGTATAAGCACAATACTTAATCAAGAGGAGAAATATAAGCATCACAAAATTGACCTTGATTTTGTCTCAATAAATGAAAAACAATACCCATACCATAATTCCCCTTTTTACCATTAAAAAAGATTGGCTGTGATCACTAGCCAATTATAAACAATCCCATTTAAATGAAAACAAAGATTTATAAACAAGATGGGAATTGGGACGTCGCTCATTCCAAACTGCTTCCTGCTGGAAGGGGGCGCTGTTCACACCATGGGGATCATGACAAAACTCAGAAACCTTTATAAGTCCGTATTTTCGGGGTCTGTAAAGCTGTATCATCTTAGCTGTTTCAGTTGTTGGAACACCTGGTCCACTGCTTCCGGGGGTCTTGGTTGGTCAAACCACAGAAGACTGGAAGGAATTCTCAGCTTTTCATTTTCTGTAGAAACATAAATAAAAACTCCTTTTCCGAGTAACATATCCTTATGCTTAAATTTTGAAGTCAAGGTATTTTCAAAAGATATAAGTTGAATTAATTCAGCAGCATTTATAATCAAGTGTACTTTAGCATTTGTTCCTTCCTTAGCAATGAAAAAACTGAAAAACACAATAGCGTACAGTATCCAGACTCTCTGTGTGATTTCCATCTTTACGTGGCTTATTTATTTATCTATTATTACTTCATTTCTTTCACTTTCATTTATTTTTCTCTGAGACAGGGTTTCTCTTTGGAAACCTGCCTGCCTCTGCCTCTGGAGTAAATCCTACCGGCGTGCGCCACCACAACGCCGGCTTTTGTATTTATATACCACTTTGCCGTTTCATTTTCTCTCTTAATCTCACGTATATTTTTAAACACACTGTAAACCTTTAGAGGTTTTCTTTATCCAAGTCTGACTTTACTGTAAATCTTTATGTTTTTCTGGCCACGTGTCTTATCTGTTAAAACCATGGCTGTTTTAAACTGCCGTTTCAAGATGGCGGGCGTAAGCGTGATTTCAGCTTACCGCCTCAGTCCATGCTGCTCAGTCCACTTCCAGCTGTACGTACACACCTTTCAATCGTTAGCAGAGTCTCTTAAAAGAACTTTGCTGGCTTTTTTTTTTGTTTGTTTGTTTTATGCCGAGTCAGGAAGACTCCGGTAAGCGAGCCACGTGAATCTCGGCTTGTCGCTAGCAAAACAGAGCACACCTGAGAAAAATGCTGCTACCAAAAATCTGTGCTTCTCCGTTCTTCTGTTTCTAAAATTCCTTTAAAGCTTTTGTTGTTTTGCATGGAAATTCAATCCCGCTTCTGACAACCACAGTGAGGGTGTATGTGTGTGCACGTGTGTGTGTGTGCACGAGCATGTGTGCATCTGTATGTAAAAGTGCCTGTCAGATGTGGGGAAGACAGCATGAGAACGGAGAGGGGGAATAAGAGGGAAGATAATGGAATATATGTGACATGACCGCACAGGCACGGATATTTGAAGGGAAAGGGAACCAGCAGGAGGTTGAGGGGTGACTGGGGAGGGCAGTGGAAGACGAAGACGAATGATGCAAAACCTATAACTTTGTATGGTAACTTAGTAATCATAAAAGGCATAGTGAAAACATGCACGATAAAGTCACACTCTTGTCAAACACCCTCCCCTCAAAGCGCTGTGTGTATTTCTGTAATAGTGGATACAGAATGTGGAGTCTTGTGCTAGAAAGGGGAAATAAAAAAGGGACTACTGAACAGAAAAGAAAGATGGGGATGGAGAGGTGGATGGAGCCATTCAGAGAGCTGCTGCACTCCTGTTAGTAACCAAGTTTGGATCCCAGCACCCATGCGACCCCACCAGCTTCAGCACTGAGGGATAGACAGCCTTTTCTATCCTCCGTGCCCACAGTCTCTCTCTCTCTCTCTCTCTCTCTCTCTCTCTCTCTCTCTCTCTCTCTCTCTCTCTCTCTCTCTCTCTCTCTCTCTCTCTCTCTCTCTCTCCTCTCTCTCACTCACACACACACAACTAAATAAAATGTAAAAGAGTGTTTAAACAATGGAGAAAGTATAGTTTTGTAAGATAAAGAAGTGTTAACCACTTTCTTTATGACACTTTTAGTGACACATCGCAAGGTGATGGGGACTAATCTGTACGAAGCAATTAGCACTGCCATAGGCAATGGAAGAGAGAGTTTGCAACACCGTCCTCTCCAGCGGTAACTTCTTGGTAGCAGGGAATGAACTGTATGGGAAACACTCAGCTCCCTCACAGAGGATAGTGGGTCATTGTGCACCAGCCCTCTAGCGGCTTGGACTGATTCTCCTTGGCTGATAGGTGGGAGGCATTGCCCTCCTTTCACATTCATTAAGAGATAATGTTAGCATTGATTTCAGGAAGATCTCTTTTCTGATACCCCCTACAGTTACAGATTCATGGTAATGGAAAGACTGGGAATAGATTTACAGCAGAAGCTTTCAGACCAGAAGGGTACTTTTCAAAAGTCAACTGTCCTGCAACTTGGAATCAGGGTGGTGAGTTCAAGATCGTTCACTCCATATTCCTCAGTTTTAGATTATTTACTTGTTTTGATTTTTAGGGAATTATGAGAAGGTAAGGATTATTGCTTAGGATTCAGTTATAGAGAGGAGAAAGGATTTTGGTAAAATTGATAACCATGGACTCTGCAGATGACACGCTATGCTGTGTCTGGCCATTGCTATTATACTTGGTTTTCCCTCACAGCTTGGTTTTGCATATCAGAACAAGCTTGTGTAGCTGCAAGAATAACCTTTTTGACTGTTACATTTGTAACTGCAAATTGTGGCCAAATAGACACCTTGTCATACTAAATATGGTATGGTTTGATTCAAAATATTTTAAGTGTAAGTTGTGGTGGGTGGCAGCAGTTAATTATAGGAATGAATCACACACACACATATTGTTAACTATGAAGCAATGTAGTCATAAATGTCTATGTATGTATTCATTTGTTGATCATGCCACATATGAAACTTATTTATATATGTATTGATTGGGTCTCCTCCCACCCCCAATCATAAGTAGAATGAAACAGCTTGTGCCTGGTTGTGATGTGAAAGTAATTAATTTTCCCACCTATTCTTCTATCTATTCTACTAGTCGGTGTTTATAGACCACCTCTCTCAGCTACCCCCCCCGTGTGTGTGTGTGTGTGTGTGTGTGTGTGTGTGTGTGTGTGTATATTTGACATGCAAGCTTCCGAGACTATAATGATGCCTAAGAGTTTGTTATTACAAAGGATAATGATCAGAGGCATAATATTTTGCTGTGATGTCTTCAAGATTTGAACTGTAATTATTGATTGATGAGTGAATTTATGGCTATTTATCATAGATGTCTTGACTATGGAATGAGCAACCAGAAATTATGATATTTTAGAATAATCAATAATAGTGAGATACATTATTTTATCATGTGTGGAAATAACCTATATTATTCTAGTGTAAAACATTAATAATGATCTTATCGATTTCTTTTCACAGCTGGACATACTGGAATACATACATGAAAATGAATACGTTCACGGTGATATAAAAGCGGCAAATCTACTGTTGGGTTACACAAACCCAGATCGGGTAAAGAGATGATTAACTTTGCCTTCAATGAGCATCTTTGGAGTAATGTAGCCAAACTTAGTAAGGACAGATTTTAACCCACTAGAGTTTACAAACGAGGGCTTAGTATGATGAATGTTTCAATTTGTCTTACCTTGCTTACCTAATTTAATGCTTGCACCAGATTAATGAGTAATTAGGATGAAGAAACTGAGAGTCAGAAGGGTTAAATCAGTTGCTAATGGACACAGATTGAAGAAGTGCCTGAGCAGGAAAGTGAGTTTCTGAGCAAATGCAGATGAAGTACCATGGTGATCCAGGGAGAAGGGATGGATGGGTGCAGAAAGATAGCTGCAAGGGGCTCCATTTCTTCTCCTGTAGCTTGAGCAAAGAAACACGGCCAAAAGAATTTTCCATTGTGGCAGAAATCATCTATCCCAAATCATAACATCCCTTGAGCTGTGGCCAGGACGATACCAGTTTCAGACAGTTGGTAGTGGCCCAGGGTTGGAAGGGAGTCCAGGGCAGTGAAACTTCTGTACACATCAGGAGTGCGCATGCATTATTATTTCTTTGTCAAGTCCCATGGGTGATGCTGGTGCCGTTGTCTATTCATCCATGTTCACAAAGATCTCACTGAGGAGTGCTGTGGTGAAGGCTGTTGTCTAGGGCGGGGCTTATATGGGAACTCAGAGCACTTGCTCAAAGTTTATCTAAATTAAGCATAAAATTTTCTGCAAATAAAATAAGTTATAAAAATATGGCAAAAGTCACTGAATAACTGAGATTTTACTTTAAATTAATTTTAAATAACAAATAGATGCAACTATTACCTACTGTCTCAACAGATTTAAAGAGAAAACACTAAAACACTAAGCCTCAAAACTATTAGAAAACTGTAATTAAATGCGTAATGGACCTCTGTAAGTATTGAAAATTCTAAAGAAGAGAGAAAAAGTCTCAACAGAAAATACTAATAGGTTAAAATTTGAATATATCTCTAAATCAATCCTAGACATAAAGAATGAGTACCTGTCAAATAATTTTTAATAAATATTGGAAAATATCTAGCGAATAAGAACTTAATAGAAAAGACACCACACAGTATTGAAAATTCTAAAGAAGAGAGAAGAAGTCTCAACAGAAAATACTAATAGGTTAAAATTTGAATATATCTCTAAATCAATCCTAGACATAAAGAATGAGTACCTGTCAAATAATTTTTAATAAATATTGGAAAATATCTAGCGAATAAGAACTTAATAGAAAAGACACCACACAGTTTCCCAATGTAGTGACAGAAGTGAGTTGGGGTGGGGAGAAGATTAGCACTGTCCTTGAGACGAGCGGAAGCCACCGCAGTCACCTTTGCTAAAGCTCGAGGGTGTGGAGATGGCAGCGCAGCATCTTTAAGAAACAGCACATCCGCAAATCTGAGAGTGAGCAGGAAGATTCGTGCTCTTACGTCTGTTTTCACTCGCTTAGTGGAATAGTTCAAATCACTGTAGTTGCTTTTTATTGCTGGGTAGTGTTTTTTGAGCATAATTTTATCTGTTCATCTGGTTTTGGACAGTTGGATTTTTTTAGGATTTATTTTTATTATTATCTAACATGGGTGTTGGTCACCAAAGTGAGGTCCTCTGGAAACCAGCCACCATTCTTAACTGCTGAGCCATCTCTCAGGCCCTGGTCATTGGGTTTTGACAGTTGTGAATAAGATGACCATGTGTGTAAAGCTTTTATGCAGGCGTGTGTTTTACTTTCCTTGAGGGTAAATGGCTGAGAGTGGCCTTTCTGGGCCATGTGATAATGCATATGCGATGGAGAAACTGACAAACTCTCCTCTGGAGACTGTCATTGTCTGGTTTCTGTCAGCAATGTGTGACAAGGACATTCCTTTCTTATTTTGATTCCATTCATGTTCTAAGTTTTAGTCATTCTAGTAGTTGCTAGGCATCTATCTTTTAAATTTGCATTAGTCACCTGCTGGCACTGACCACATTGTGAGTGCTTCCTTGTTACTCCTGGTTTTCTTGGTGAGCTTGTCCACTTGTAAATAACCTTTTCTTCTGGATGAGTTGCAGCATCCTTATATTTTGAGGGTAGGAGCTTTGTCAGATGTTTGTATGACAGGTATTGTCTGCAACTGTGGCCAGTCTTTTGGTTTCCTTACTTACGTCTTTGATAAACAGGTGTGAAGTGTATCATAACACTATCTTTGCTATTGTAATTTTATAATGCTAAAATTAGGTCATCTTCCAGCTTTGTTCTTTTGTTTTGACTACCCTGGCTGCTTTGGAATTTCATATATATTGATCTGATATATATATATATCAGAATCAGTTTGTCAGGTTTACCAGAAAACCTGTTAGGATTCTGACTGTGACTGTAGGGTGCATTTGAACTCATTGCTGTCCTGACACTGTAGAGTATTCTGAGTAGGTGCCAGACTAATTCACCTTGGGAAGGGTGACCTTCCCAGCACTCCCCTTGCTTGTTGTGCTTTTATTAACTTTGTAATATTTTCTTATTTTCCTTGAGATTTGCTTTTTTGTTGTTGTTATGTGGGATTATGTTTAAATTTCAGATATTTGAGAATTTTTAAATCATTCTCTGTCATTGATTCTTCTATTTAAATTATAAGTACACATAAGTGTCTATGTGTTTGTGAGTGAAGTTGTCTGTAGAGGTCAAAAAAGGGTGTCTATTGCACCAGAGTTGGAATTACAGATGGTTGTCCACTCTGTGTCTAGTTAGGATGTCCCTGGGTGCTTGTAGGGCTCACCTATCTGGCTCTTTCAAGGAACACAGTCTTGTGTCATATGCTTAAACCCTCCAAATACTTATTTACTTCATGATTATTATATGAAGGGGAGAATAAATCCAGACATTCTTACTTTCATCATTTCTAAAACTAAAAAGGCCATCTTAAATAATTTAATTTTGTTGAATTTCTTGCCATTTGCCCATTTTTATTTTCATTTATTTTGCTTTTTCCCTTCATTTGGAAGAATTTTTGATAAGAACCATAAGAGTCCTTCTGCTACTGCATAACTTACATGTCTTGCTTTCTTATAATTTACCTTTTTTTTTTTTTGAGACAGAGAGAATCTCAATAGCCCTGGCTAGCTCTGAATTCACTCATGTAGTCAAGGTTGGCTTCAAATTTCTCATCCACCTACCTTCAGTTCCAGAATGCTGGGCCATAGGAATGAGCCACTATGCCCAGCTTTTCAATCTGTCTTCTGAACTTTAGCTGTGCTTTGGGAATTTTATTTCCATGCAGATATCGTTAATAATGTGGACAAGGGTACCAACTTTTATTTATTACAGATAATATATTATAAATAGGGAACTTGCTTATAAGAACTTTATTGCATAATTTGATTTTTGGTTAGGATTTATTTTTCTATATGAAAAGACTCAGAGCATAACTTTACCTTTTCTAAATTTTAAGCTTTTCCTGTTTCTGCAACATTTTGTTGGCAACAGTTACAGTGTTTTATCATAATACTTAGTTTCTTCTATTGAATCCTACTAGTGTGTGTGTGTGTGTGTGTGTGTGTATGTGTATGTGTTTGTTTATGTATGTGTGTGTATGTGTTTATGTGTGTGTATGTGTGTTTATATATGTGTGTGTATGTGTTTATATGTGTGTGTGTGTGTGTGTGTGTGTGTGTGTGTGTGTGTGTGTGTGTGTGTGTGAGATCAGTACCATGAACAATACTGGAGTATTGATCTCTTGGGCTGTATCCTGTGTTGCATAATTAGGTTGATGTGACAGTGTGTGTGTGTGTGTGTGTGTGTGTGTGTGTGTGTGTGTGTGTGAGTGAGTGTGTGTCATCAGTACTATGGACAATACTGGGGCATTGATCTCTTGGGCTGTATCCTGTGTTGCATTATTAGGTTGATGTGACAGTCCCTTGCAGTCTTCTCACCGCTCTCTCTGTTTACTTTCCTGCTGCATTTATTTTCTTTTTATTGTGCCATTTTTTTCTCTCAGTATCAATCCATCATATTTTCTAGTCATTTATCTACATAGGTTAAAAATATTTGGTATTCTTACTGAAGTTTTGGTAAATTTTAGCATTAATTTGAATGAGACCTGATATCTTTCCAATTCATAGTCATTCAGCAATAAGGAAAGTTTTATTTTTTGTCATATTTATATTTCTGTCACTGAGAGTATTTTATAGCTTTTTTTCATGTTAGTTTTTCTTATTTCTTGTTACATTTATTCTTAAATGCTATAATTTTTTATTGTCACTGTCAATGTGCTTTTACTTTATTGTTACTTTTTAAATTTTATATATAGCAGTTTACAATACTTTAATAGATACTTCAGTTGTTTGAAGTAGATTCAGTAATGGTTCTCTAAGTTTTCTTTCTTTAAAGATTTATTTATTTTCATTTTACATACATGTTGATCTGCCTGCACATATGTGCACCATGTGCATGCAGTACCTGAGCAGGCCAGAGGACACGCTGATTCCTCTGGACCTGGAGTTGCAGGTGCTTGTGAGTCACCACGGGGTGCTGGGAGCGAACTCAGGTCCTCTGCAAGAGAACCCAGTGCTCTTGCCAGCAGAGCCATCTCTTTAGCTTCCCTAAGATTGTTTTTAAGCAACTGTCGTATCAGGAAAATTGAATACTTTTCCAATTCTTACCTTTTTGGTGGATTTGTCTTATTGCATTGCTAGTGTATCTCCAGTAAAAAACTAAGTGGTAGTGAAGTTGAGATCATCCTATTTCTCTGTGGTCTCAGTGGAAATGCCTGAGCTACTATCCTACTAGATATGATGCTGCCTTTAGGATTAAGACTGTGTCCAGATGTGTGAATGTGTGCAGATGTTGTGAATGCACGTATGTGCAGGCAGGGCACTACTGTAAATCAAAGGTTTTGTTGCTGGCTTGGTGTTTACATTTCTCTTTTGATAGTGTGCTGAGTTATCTTCCTGTACCAAAGACACTGGGACATAGTGGTGAAGGCTCTATGTAGGCATCAATTCAAAGTCTCCATG